TCCCAAAGTGCTGGGATTACAGGTGTGAGCCACCATGCCCAGCAAATGATTCTTAATAAATATTTATTAGACTCCTAAGTTCCAAGCAGTGGATCAGTAATGGGAATATAAGCACATAGAGGTGAATATATCATATTCCCTCCCCTTCAGAAGTTCATTTGTAAGTCAGGTATGCAAACATGAAGAATATATCATGATGAGTATCATTACAGAGTCAGGAGCAGAGTGAAAACAAGATTGAGTGGGTGACCATGCATTCACTGAAAGAAGGAATACTGGAAGAAGAGCAGGTTTGATTAATCAATTTCTTTACGTTAAAAGAGAACTAGCTCCTGGAAAAATGATTCCTTTTTGCATGTGTGTTCTTTGAATTATTGCAGTGCATAGATCCTTTCCCAAGAGCTCAGTTCATGTACATTTTTATACAGTGGCTTCTTCTTGCTATGATGTGCTGCACAGGTGTGTTCAGCAGGGTACCCAGTGTAATTAGCAGGAAGACTTCTGCAGCAAAATGTGATAGGAAAAATGGCTTTTCTAACTTCAAGAGCTGCTTCTATCTTTCCTTTGCCTCTGTTTTAGTGTCGTAAGTCCTATAGATGGGAAGTCCATGGAGACTATAACAAATGTGAAGATATTCCATGGATCAGAATATAAAGCAAATGGAAAAGTCATCAGATGGACAGAGGTAAGGAAATGAAACTTGGCATACTTGACCCACTTTAAGCACAACTTTTTGCTAGGCCAAGAGCCACATTCTGGGTTGACTCTGTAGGATAAGAAAAAAACATCTCTGAGAAAAATCTTTCTCGTTTATACTCCAATTCCCCCTGGTCTATCTGAAATTACCAGGAAGAAATGCTGCCAGTTGCAGCCTGCACCCGTCTGATGTATCCTCCTTCCTGTGAACTAACTTTTAGAGATTTCTTTGCATTGGAACTCAAGAAAAGTACATCTCTGAATGGTACATTCCATCTTTGCTGTATTCTTCAGAAAGCTGGGTCAGTTATTCTGCACTTATAAACTATCTTAGATAACATGACGGTCTTTAAAAAATAGACTTATTTCACTAATAAGAAAACTAGGCCAGGCACAGTGGCTCACACCTGTAATCCCAGCATTTTGGGAGGCTGAGGTGGGTGGATCACTTGAGGTCAGGAATTCAAGACCAGCCTGGGTAACATGGTGAAACCCCATACCCACTAAAAATACAAAAATTAGCTGAGGCGTGGTGGTGCATGTGTGTAGTCCCAGCTGCTTGAGAGGCTGAGGCATGGGAATTGCTTGAACCTGGGAGGCAGAGATTACAGTGAGCCGAGATCATGCCACTGCCCTCCATCCAGCCTGGGCAACAGAGCAAGACTCCGTCTCAAAAAAAAAAAAAAAAACTAGGCCGGGCGTGGTGGCTCATGCTTGTAATCCAGCACTTTGGGAGGCCAAGGTGAGCAGATCACCTGAGGTCTGGAGTTTGAGACCAGCCTGACCAACATGGTGAAACCCCATCTCTACTAAAAATAAAAATTAACCGGGAGTGGTAGTGCACGCCTGTAATCCCAGCTACTCAGGAGGCTGAGGCGGGAGAATTGCTTGAACCTGGGAGGCGGTGGTTGTGGTGAGCCGAGGTCATGCCATTGCACTGCAGCCTGGGCAACAAGAGCCAAACTCCATCTCCAATAACAAACAGAAAAACAAAACTAAAGCTCAGAGACTAATTAACTTGCTCAAGATTACAAGCCGAATAAATAATGGTAAAATCCTGATTAAAATCCAGATCTGGCCAACTCCTAAGCTCTTTCCCACTGTATTAATTTGTTCCTTGAAAGCTGTATTAGAGGCTCACCTGCAAATGAGAGGAAGGAGCCAGGGCAGTGACCCCTTTTTGTATGTACATATCATATAGATCAGAAAGTTTATTCTCTTCATCCCCAAGAGGTCTGAGAAAAAATAAAATTTGAAAAAAATTTAAAAAGTTCTCAGTGAGTAAACAGGTAGATCTTAGATTCCTTTATTACTTTGGAACCTCATGTATGCTCATTTGTAAAGGATTAAATTATAAGATCTCTAGGATTCTTTTCAGCTTTGAAACTCTTACATTTAAAAAAAAAATTCTGTGACTTCTAGCTTTTCCATTTCACACAAAAGGAAACAGACCCAGGGTTGTTAAATCTCTTACTCAAGTTCATATGGCTGGTTCCTGATAGCAGAGAGGAGACCTGGTTCTCCAGTTCTGAGCAGCGGTCCTAAGGGACTCACCTGCATAACAGTCTCCATGATTTCATATGCAGCCAAGGGATTTTAGTTGCTTGCTATGTAATGATTTGTCCCTTTGACACATTTTGAGCAGCGCAGAGTCTGGAACGTGTAAAACACTTTATGGCTTACAAAGCAGTTTGACCTCTGTTCCCTCCTTTTTGCTCCCCAGTAGCAGTGAGGTAGGCAAGCTACCCATCCTAAGATGCAAATGAGAAAACAGGCTCAGACAGGTCATGTGACTGTAACTGTGTGACTAATGTTGGTTAATGGCAGAGCAGGGGCCAGCACTCAGGTCTCCTGACTCCCACTCTGTCACTTCATGTCACCACTCTCCAATGCATCCAGGTACAGGGCTTCGGAGCTGCCTCCTTTGTAGTCCTCCCAGTGTAAGCTCCTTATGGAGCAGTAAGCTAGGAGTAGCTATATAGAAACATCATATATTTGCATTTCTGTATCTTTTATATTTTTGCCTTTTTTTTTTTTTTGAGACGGAGTCTCTTGCTCTTGTTGCCCAGGCTGGAGTGCAATGGTATGATCTCGGCTCACTGCAACCTCCGCCTCCCGGGTTCAGGCGATCCTCCTGCCTCAGCCTCCTGAGTAGCTGGGACTACAAGGCATGTGCCACCACGCCTGGCTAACTTTTGTATTTTTAGTAGAGACAGGGTTTCACCGTGTTGGCCAGGCTGGTCTCAAACTCCTGACCTTGTGATCCACCCGCCTCGGCCTCCCAAAGTACTGGGATTACAGGTGTGAGCCACCGTGCCTGGCCTTATATTTTGCCTTTATATAGTTTTATCTTCACAATAACCAGAGAAGTCAGGTGCTTTCCACTTTACGGAGGCAAATTAATTTTTTGTTTGTTTGTTTTTGAGACGGAGTCTCACTCTGTCACCCAGGCTGGAGTGCAGTGGCGCGATCTTGGCTCCCTGCAAGCTCCACCTCCCAGGTTCACACCATTCTCCTGCTTCAGCCTCCCGAGCAGCTGGGACCATAGGCGCCTGCAACCACATCTGGCCTTTTATTTTTTTGTATTTTTAGTAGAGATGGGGTTTCACCATGTTAGCCGGGATGGTCTCGATCTCCTGACCTCGTGATCCGCCAGCCTTGGCCTCCCAAAGTGCTGGGATTACAGGCGTAAGCCACCGCGCCCACCCAAGGCAAATTAATTATTAAGAAGTCAGCAGCCCAGCCAGCATGCTGAAACCTCGTCTCCACTAAAAATACAAAAATTGTCTGGCTTGGTGGCAGGCTCCTGTAATCCTAGCTACTCGGGAAGCTGAGGCAGGAGAATTGCTTGAATCTGGGAGGCAGAGGTTGCAGTGAGCCAAGATCACGCCATTGCACTCTAGCCTGGGCAATAGAGCAAGACTCTATCTCAAAAAAAAAAAAAAGAAAAAAAAGAAGTCCTTTGGACCAGGTGCAGTGGCTCACACCTGTAATCCTAGCACTTTGGGAGGCTGAGGCAGGGGCATCACCTGAGGTCAGAGTTTGAGACCAACCTGGCCAACATGGTGAAACCCCGTCTCCACTAAAAATACGAAAATTAGCTGGGTGTGGTGGTGCGCACTTGTAGTCCCAGTTACTCGGGAGGCTGAGGCAGGAGAATTGCTGGAACCTGGGAGGTGGAGGTTGCAATGAGCCAAGATCGTGCCACTGCACTCCAGCCTGGGTAGTGGGCAACAGAGTGAGACTCCATCTCAAAAAAAATAAAGTAAGTCCTTTGGGCCAGGTACAGTGGTTCATGCCTGTAATTCCAGCTCTTTGGGAGGCCAAGGAGGACAGATCACCTGAGGTCAGGAGTTCGAGACCAGCCTGGCCAACATGGTGAAACCCCATCTCTACTAAAAATACAAAAATTAGCTGGGTATGGCAGCACATGCCTGTAATCCCAGCTGCTTGGGAGGCTGAAGCAGGAGATCACTTGAATCCAGGAGCCGGAGGTTGCAGTGGGCAGAGGTCATGCCACTGCACTCCAGCCTGGTGACAGAGCGAGACTTTGTTTCAAAAAAAGAAAAAAAAAAAAAAAAGGTCCTCTAACTTCCTTTAGTCCTCTAACTAAGAGACTTGCTCATGACCCTTCCTCTATGGTGCTAGGACTTGGGTCATCAGTTCCAAGTGTGTTCCGCTTCTGCCTGTGCACAGTGCAGTGCATGGCTCTGTGTAGGCATGCTGACACAGCTCCTGCCTCTGCAGTGGCAGGACTGTGTGGTGGAAAAAGCTTGCAATAAAAGGCTCAGATGCTAGGCTCAGCCCGGCTCTTCCTCTGTCTCTTAAGTTCTTCTGTCCTCTGAGCCAGTCAGTTCCCTTCTAAGAGTAATTGTAAAATAAAGCAGCTGGGTCACATCATCTATAAGGGCCATTCTCTTAGACTTAATATCATTTTCTAGGTAAATTGTCCACATATAGGGATTACCTTTTAGTGGCATACAATGCAAAATGGAGGCCTTTTGTAGTTCTGAGAAGAACGTGCCATTGCAACCGTGGAGGCTTGCAGGGAGTTAGGCAGGCTTCTGCTGCCACTTTGTGGATACAGAGACTGAGAGACGGATTGTTTTTTTTAGGTGGAAGACATAAATGCCTGACTTTTCCTGGCCCAGGGACTTTATGGTGTCCTGTTCCTGTCATGTCTTCTTGCAGATCTTGGAGAATCAGGGTGCTCATATTCAGTGAGCTAATCTACTTTTCCCAAAATCTAGGTACAAGTTTAAAAGTCTCTTTTGTTTGGGGAACAGGTGTTTTTCCTAGAAAACGATGACCAGCACAATTGCCTCAGTGATCCTGCAGATCATAGTAGACTGACTGAGCATGTTGCCAAAGCTTTTTGCCTTGCTCTTTGTCCTCACCTGAAGCTTCTGAAGGAAGATGGAATGACCAAACTGGGACTACGTGTGACACTTGACTCAGATCAGGTACGATGTGTCTTCCGCAGCTTTTAAAGCTGGCCTTGGGCAACGTCTGTATTTCTGACATGCGAGTTTTTCTGCATCACCCTGGAGAGCTTAATTCTCCGACCTTCTGGCCTGACCAGATACAGTGTTCTGGCCCTCTCTTTAATAGTACTATACCCACATGTGATGCTTGGTCAGATTCTCTCAGAACCATTTCAACTGTGGCTTCTTTACCTGCATGGCTTACCAAGGAGCTGGTTTCCTTCTTAGTGTGGGGTAAAGAGGGGAACATGTGGTAGGACCTGCCAGTTCCTGCCTTGATGCTTACAAATTGCCAGACCTCTCTGTTCCCTCAACCCTTTAACTTCGAGTCACTTAGAACTTGGGGCTAGACTCAGCTTGATCACCCTTCCCCCCGAGTGTTAATTCTGCCCAGCAAGCTGCTTCTGGCCTGAGTGCTTATGAGGAGAAACTGGTTCCCGAGCACAAGGTTGTGCCATTATCAGGGAATGATGAAAGGTTGTGTCTGGCCCCAGTTCCTGACTAGTCATCAATCAACAAATACTTATTTTCTACTTAATGGCTTGCCCAATGCTATACTCATGAAGTATTCTGGTCCTGTCTCAAATGACATTGATAATTCGGCTGGAGGGAATTACCTCACGTAAAACAAAGAAAAAGCATTTTTCTGCTAAATATGTGAGCCTCTTGAGGGCAGGGCCCTGTTACATTCGTCTTTGGATCCCTGCGTTTGTAGGTGCTCAGAAGATGGTGCATGAATGAACAGATGGATACAAGAACAAATATTCAGTTCCTACTATGTTAGGGAGCTATACATTGTACATTTCTCAATTTTCACAACCAAAGCTTAAGGTGTTATTTCTGATACTCCATATCTTTTTATGCACCTCTCCCCTTCACCAGAAAACTAAGACCATAACAGGTTAAGTGGCTTACCCAGTGCCTCATGGTTGTCAAGTGGTCAGGAGGAGTAAACAACAGGATAAGTGACAATCCGGAAAAGAGGATAAATTTGTATTCACTGCCATATGTCTAGCCTATGGCCAAAAAGGACATCTCCTTTTCTGCTCAGCCTCCTTGCCCTCAGCCCTGGAGAGGCCTCTGTTCAGTAACCTCTCCTCCTTTTCTCTCTGTGGTATAGGTTGGCTATCAAGCAGGGAGCAATGGCCAGCCCCTTCCCTCGCAGTACATGAATGATCTGGACAGCGCCTTGGTGCCGGTGATCCATGGAGGGGCCTGCCAGCTCAGTGAGGGCCCTGTCGTCATGGAACTCATCTTTTATATTCTGGAAAACATCGCATAAACAGAGAAGACTTCATTTTTTTCTGTTCAGACTTGTTGCAACAGCAGTCATACCCAAATCATTTGCACTTTAAAACTGGAAGATTAAGCTTTTGTTAACACTATTAATGGGGTGGGGAATAGGGTGGGAGTGGGGGTTTGGGAGATGGGTGGGAAAGGGTGGTTGGGGGGACAGATGTTCCATAATTCTAAGTCTTCTATGCATTGTCCACCAAGAAGATCTGGGCAGCTTCTGTTCCTGCACAACAGTTATGCTATCCTCGCAGCTAATCCCCTTCTGTTACTGTTTAGACAAGAATTCCGCTCCTCTCTCAAGATTTACTTACGGTCATGTGCTCAGAAATGCTCAAATGGGTACAACCATCACCAAGGGTGGGATGGGGAGGGCAGAAGGGAAATAAAATATGAAGCATCCATTCTTGTACTCTTTGTACAGCATTGGTATAAAAAGGATAATTCCCCACTGATCTTGTCCCAGTTATATTCTCACAGCTGTTTATCAAGTAGAAGTCACACTTAGATTTTTGTTTTTACCAGATTATTCATTGAAGTGAATCGAAGACTCAAGGGCTTAATCTACTCTTCTAGTTTCGGAAGGGCAACTCAGTGTAAATGTCATTTGGAGAGCAGAGCTGAGTTCAGGATTGCTGGAGATCTGCCTGTGTGGATGGCAGGTATTCAACTGGGTATTTATGTGAATGCTGATGGAATATACCCAGGACGTTTTTAGTTATAAATACTGGAAGAATTTAAAAATACATTTTATTGAGAAATAATTTAAACTTCTAGGAAAGTTGCAAGTATAAAAAAACCCGTGCACACTACCCAGATTCCCCTCTTGTTCACTTATTAACATTTTGCCCCATTTGATTTGTCAGGGTTTCTCTCTGCCTTTCTCCTTCTCCATAAAAAATTGAGGCATTTGAGAGTAAATTGCATACATCATAGGCCTTTACTCCTAAATGCTTATTTCCTAAAAATAAGGACATTCTCTTATACAACTGTAGGACAGTTCTCTACTTCAAACATTGATTTGATACTTTAACCTGGCATCTGCCCAATGATGTTCTTTGTAGCATTTTTTCCCTCCAGTAAACCTTCCAGTATACAATCAGACATGGCTATGGCTGTCATGACTCGTCTTGATCTTTTATGTCATCGATATATATTTTTTTGAGACGGAGTCTCGCTCTGTCACCCAGGCTGGAGTGCAGTGGCGCAATCTCGGCTCACTGCAACCTCCGCCTCCCAAGTTGAAGCGATTCTCCTGCCTCAGCCTCCAGAGTAGTTGGGATTACAGACGCCTGCCACCACCCCCAGATAATTTTTTTGTATTTTTAGTAGAGACAGGGTTTCACCATGTTGGCCAGGCCTGACCTCAAGTGATCCACCATCCTCTGCCTCCCAACTCCTGACCTCAAGTGATTCGCCATCCTCTGCCTCCCAAACTGCTAGGATTACAGGCGTGAGCCACCGCGCTCAGCCTCATTGATATTTTTGGTGAATGCCCCCCCCCCACCCCCTCCCCGGTTTTTTTTTTTTTTTTTTAACAGAAAACAACTCAGTTTGATGTTTCCTTACATTTAGAATCGGGTTATGTGTTTTTGCCCAGAATGACTTGGTATCCATCTGCCCCTCATTGACAGTGGTAAATTTTGATCACTTGGTCAAGGTGTTATCCAGCTTCTCTGTATATCCCCCCACCTGGAACTTATAACCAGTATATATAGACTTTCAGACCATGCAAATATCTTGCCTATGAAAGTGTCCCCTTAAATTAGTATGCATTGATGTTCGTTACCTGCACTGATCTTTTACTATGATGTTTGCAAAATGATTTTCCAATTCTAGCGCATTCTTCAGCTTTACAGATTGCACTTGGTAATCTACTATAAGCAGAAGCCCTTCCTTCCCAATTTATTTATTCATTTAATTGTCATTATACACTCATAGACTGTTTTTTGTTTTGTTTTGAAACAGTGTCTCACTCTCATCCATGCTGGAATGCAGTGTCACAATCTTAGCTCACTGCAGCCTCAAACTTCTGGGCTCAAGCAGTCCACCCACCTTGGCCTCCCAAAGTGCTGGGGTTACAGGCATGAGCCACCAAGCCTGGCCTTTTTCAGTGGTTCCAATTCATTATTTTGGTACACAACTGGTCTCAGCTTTAGCTAGACAAGGGACCCTTCAAGCTGGTTCCTACATCCTGGTGACATGCTTTTTTTTTTTTTTTTTGAGCACTTCTTTTTTATTTCTATCCTAACAAGATGCTTCAGGCTTATCTTGTGGTTACCCTACCCTAGCCCTGGAATCAGCCATTTCTGCAAGGAGCTCTGGCTTCTTTTAATGGGAGTGGTATTAGAAACCAAAATCTGGTTTTATCCATGATATGTGATGCACTCTGACCTTTTTCTGTTTCATTAAAAAATTATTTTGGTCTTAGACCAAATGGATTCCACAACACACATTTTGAAAATACTGCTTTAGGGCAATGTACTCCATTGTCACTGGCATCTTCTGAAAGTCAAGGCTAAACTAGTTTTTCTGCAGTTATTAGTACAGCTCCAAGAATTCCCTGGAAACTAGCACAGGCCTCTGGGATAGCGACAGGCTGCTCCCCAGTGGCTAGTGCTGGGTTTAGCATGACGCAACAGCAGGCTGTGGAGCTGTTTGCAGCGGCAGCTGTTTTCCAGAGGCCTAAAGGCCTGGTCTGGAAAATGTCTGTGTAGGTTCATCCTGCTCTCTGAGGTGGGAGCTTATAGTCGACATCTGCCTCTCCAAAGGTTTTACCAATGGTGGCTGCACAGAACTCTTACTGTGACCTTTCCCACAGGCTCAGAGGTACTCAGAGCTGCTAAGGGGGAAGCTTAGCCCACACAGCAGTAGCTTATCAGGGCCAACCTCTGGGAACCGCTACCTCCAAACCTGACAAGAACAGGAAGCACTTGTTAACAGGGGCAGCTTATTTTTGGTCTAATAGCCAGCTTTTTCTCAACATACCTCAAAAGTTTGGAACTTCAACAGGGACTGGTCCTGTTTTCCTGTGGTTTATCCTCCTGCTTGCCATAGTACTTACTTCTTCTGGCTCATTGCAAGCTTTTCAATTCTCCCACTAAGGATAAACTCTGGCCCTCAGATCCTTTCTCTGCGGCATCAAATGTCCTCTGTGTTTAGTAAAATCACTTGTGGAATTGAGCATAAAATAGCCAATGCTAGTTAATTGTTTTCCTTGTTTATCCTTGCTTTTATACAATGTATATTGTAAGAATTATATAAAGCAAGGGACTGAACCACCACATTTTGAAATAGGCAAATTTTCTGGATTGTAAATTTAAAGACTGAGATACAGCGATCCTTCTGTACTGAAGAGGAATAGAGTTGCCATTCTGGTAATTTATTAAATTTTTAAGAATTATTAAATGCTTACCAAATGCTAGGTAATGTATTTTTATCAACATCTTCTGAGGAACTACTGGACTGTAGGGCTACAGAGATTGGAAATTTTGCCTCTGTAAATTCCCCACGTCTTGTCTTCCCCCAGCCACAGTGGTTCCTGAACACTGGTGGGCCCAAGATTTTCAGTTAAATTTACCTCTAGATAGGTCACCTGGGAAATTATTTATGCATTTAACACATTTCAAACAACAATCAACCTGCTGAACATTGTTTCTGGAATTAGCAAGTTTGTAATGTTTCTATTTTTTTTTGAGACAGAGTTTTGCTCTTGTTCCCCAGGCTGGAGTGCAATGGCACTATCTTGGCTCACTGCAACCTCCGCCTCCCAGGTTCAAGTGATTCTCCAGCCTCAGCCTGCAGAGTATCGGGGATTAGATTACAGTCATACACCACCACGCCCAGCTAATTTTGTATTTTTAGTAGAGATGGGGTTTCACATTGGTCAAGTTGGTCTCGAACTCCTGACCTCAGGTGATCTGCCCTCCTTGGCCTCCCAAAGTGCTAGGATTACAGGCGTGAGCCACCTTGCCTGGCTGGTTTCTATTTTTATAATACTAAAATAATAATAATGGCAAGGGGGATTCAGGGATTGTATGTAGTCAGAAGGGCTAAGGAGTAAGGAGAAATGATGCCATTTTAAAGCCTGGGCAGCTGAGGCAGAGAAGAAACATCCATCTGTGGAGCTGACCCAGATGCAAGCTCCCAAGATCTGCCAGTCTCAGTTGCATGGTTTCATCCTGAAAGCAGCTGCCCTTACTTAAGGGACAAAGTCTTCTAGGAGCTGCCCATGGAAAACAAGGCATCAAAATCCAGAAGCAACAATTCAAGTTTCAGAATGGTGCTATGAGAAAGGAAAAATGTTAGAGTCACAGGAGTTTGCCCTTTAATTGTAAGTAAGACTACTTGATTCTAAAAAATTTCCATAGTTCATTCAATTCACTAATTCAGAAGAAAGCGTGCATTGCATGAGATCAAAGAACTGAAAATTTTAAAATGATTTGGGTTGTAGCTGGCTCCCAGCTGCAGGTGTCACTAATCTCCAGTGTTTGGTTGCTGTATTTGTGTTGGTTTTGAGACGGAGTCTTCTGTCACCCAGGCTGGAGTGCAGTGGTACAATCTAGGCTCACTGGAACCTCTGTTTCCTGGGCTCAAGCAATTCTTGTGTCTCAGCCTCCCTAGTAGCTGGGATTACAGGCGCCAGCCACCATGCCCAGCTAATTTTTGTTTTTAGTGTAGATGGAGTTTCTCCATGTTGGCCAGGCTGGTCTTGAATTCCTGACCTCAGGTGATCCACCTGCCTCAGCTTTCCAAAGTGGTAGGATTACAGGCGTGAGCCACCGTGTCCGGCCTGGTTACTGTATGTGGATAAATCTCAGGACAAGATGAGGCTGAGACAGGCTCCTCCCACAACAGTGACACATGCATGCCTTTGGTTACAACAAAGGCCTTTTAAGAACTTCAGCCTCCAAGTCTGGTGGGAGGCTTTGTCTTGCTTCCTCAGCCTGGAGGTTCTGTTTTGAAAGAGCAGAGAAGCAGACTGAAATTGAATGGGTTGCAAAGGAGAAACTTTGGAGCCATAGAAAACTTTTTATCTATCAAAATAGGCCATTTGCAGCAGAGGCCTGAATTTAGAAACTCCTAGGGCTGGCTGGAACTTTAGAGGATAACCAGTGGTCCCTAACCCTCTTAGGAAGCACTGGGTTGGATACACACCCTAAGGGGAGTAGGTTGGGTCAGGAACCCTTCCAGCCACTTTTCTTTGTTCTATAGGTTATCTTATGAAGGCCAACCACCCTCCTTTTCATTCTAGATTAGTGCTGTGTTGCATACACGTGATGGCAATTAAGTGTTAAATCTCACATCTGTGGAAGTTTTGATAGCTCACTTCTGATAAGATTGGCCAGCCAGGTGCAGGTGCCGGTGGTGGGCGCCTGTAATCCTAGCTACTCAGGAGGCTGATGCAGAATTGCTTGAACCTGGGAGGCGGGGGTTGCAGCGAGCTGAGATCGTACCACTGCACTCCAGCCTGGCCGACAGAGATACTCCGTCTCAAAAAAAGGCCAGAGGGCTCCTGGGGAAAAAAGTCACTTGTGTGTGGTTCCTGCTCTGTGACCCACTAAAAGCTCTGGTGTTAAGGGCAAGGAAGCATGGTCCAGCCCTGTTATCCCCAAAAGGACACACACAAAGCTCAGTTCTTGAGCTGTGCTTAGGCAATACTATAGTGATCAGTAAGCTAAATGTATTTGCTTCACTTCTAACCTTTTTTAAAAGTGATCTTGAGGAATGCTTTGTTGATCTTGAATTAATGCTTCAAAAAGGGGGTGGGGGAAGATGGGGTATTTCTAAGAAATGTAGAACATTTCAGTTTTGAATATTAAATCTATTACAACTACAGACCCCTTCATAGTCTCCATCCATTCAAAAAAACAAAGCCAAAGGAGAATTTCTTGGAAAAAACTAAGGAAGTCCCCCAGGTAACCAGCCGAAGAGGATGAAGAGGAAAGGCTTTCCCTGCCCTCAAGAGGGAAGCCACAGCGGCCATTTGTCACATTACTGCTACCCTGGCTTTTAAAAAGTGACAGGGATCGGGACTTTTGTTTAGGACTTTGATGGATACTCTGTAGTTACACAGTATGAAATCCCTACAATGAGTTAGAGTTAGTTTCCTAAATAAATAAACATGGCTACATAAAATTTTATATATATATTTTTTTCTTCCAGTTAACAGTCTTTTTTCTTGGGTGAGTGGACCAAACCCAAGATCCAACCTTCCCTACTTCCCACCAAGTAGTACCAAAAACAACTTTCCTCCTCCACTAAGTCCTTAGGGAAGCAGGAAGGCTAGTGCAGCAGCTGTCAGGGATAAAGGCACAGGCAGAGCTGGGGTGGCGGAGTTGTCTGGGACAGGCTACCACTAGCCCACTGGAGTCACGGAACCCTGACCCCACCCTCAGCAGGGGCGGTTCCCGATCACCCTCAAGTTCTCCCATCCCACAGTTACATCTTTTAAAGGCACATCTAGAAGTGGTGCAACTGGAGGCAAGTGTAAGCTATACACAGTTGCTACGCAGGGGTTAAGGGGCTGCGGGACTCCATGGCACAGAGGAACGAAGGCATCCTTGCCCTCATCCAGACTGGGGGCAGGGGGAGACAGCAGGGAGATGGGCTCCTGGAACCCAGCCTGTTTCTGTAGAGGCCCCAGAGGGGCCAACAGGAAAGACCAGGGTTGTGGTCAGTAGTGCACGTGCTTAACAGTTCTTTGGTGCTTGGGTAGCAGCATCTCTCTTATGTACAAAGGCTTCTGAAGCCAGCAAAGCTGGGAAAGTCAACTCCTGCACAGTCGCGGCCTGACTCCTCTCCTGGTGCTGGCCATCGGCTACACAGGGGTGCAAAGCACAAGAAGTCAGTCTAAACTGCAGTGAAAACACAAAGATTTTAGAAAGGGTTTCCTGAAGATAGTTAAACCCTGGAAGGTTACCTTCTCTCCCCAGTTCTACTGAGGAACATCAGAAACTCAGCCCATAAGCCCTACCCAACAGTTTGGCCTCTTGGTCTTTCTCATAGATGAGAAACTCCTAGGTTTTCTCTCCAGATACGAGTTGAATACTTAAGTAAAAGAAGGGGGCAAAAGTTCTAAAGGCCCAGAGAACTGCCCACCTCACAAGCCCCTGGGCTCCAGAACCAGCCAGTTCTCCGTGACCATCTGCACATCCTGGCCACTCAGAGGCTCCCGCAGCCTCACCTTCACTTCCAGCTTCCCCCCGGTGGGCTTCCTTCCATCCAGGACCTGTGAGGACCACAGAGAGGGAGATGGTAACTAAGGGGACAGAGATGGGGAACAGGCAGGTCCCTACATTCCCAGGAAAGAAGTGAGAGGAGCTAAGATGTCCTGTGGCATGAACACAGGAGTCTCCATTCATGACAACCCTACCCTCCCAGTATTTGGAGGAGGAAGTGGTGGTGGTTTTAGGTGAGTCTTATTTAAAAAGTAATAAATAAATCTAGACTAGCATGCTAGAGCTCGGTTCATTTTCTCCTCAATCCCCACGGCAACTTCTGGAAGAAACACTGGTTGAAGAAGCAGCCTTCCACTGACCTAAACCCTCACTTCACAGATGGCCAAGACAGAGAAGCAGATGCCTCTATGTGGCAGAGTCGGCACTGGAACCCCACGCCCAGGGTTTCTTCCCATTCACACTACTCCCTCTTCTGCGCAGAAGATGGGGCAGTCCGGGTACAAAGCAGTACAACAGGCCCAAGAAGTCCAATCACCCTCAGTGGCTCCAATAGAGACCAGGGCCCACTTAAGAACAACTTCCCCAGGCAGGCAGTAGGGGTAGGTGTGCTGCAGTGGGAAAAGCCTCAGCCTACACAGGTTATCAGTAAGGAGCTGGTCTTGGCTCTGCCAAGACACACCATATGAGCTTACAGAACCCCCTTTCCTCTTGGACCTGAGTTTCCTCATTTGTCAGAGGCAAGGTCGTATAGTCCTTGCCTGTGGAATCCACTGAGTTCATGGAAACAAGGAGGCTGCCTTCTGCTGGGTCCCTCTATGAGATTTCTCAGACCTTCTGAACCTCTCCATCTGTGAAATGAGGATTCCACCTACTCTAAGCACACTTGTGGAGAATTTCAAATTAAGTAATGAGCACGAAAACCTACAACAAGGTGTGGTGTTCAGTGCATACTGGCTCTTGTCGTACCGACCCCTTTGGCTTGCCCACACCCCAGTCCCTACCTCCACAATTTCTCTGATCTCACACTCATTCTCCAGCCGCTCCAGTTTCAGGTGTGCTGTGCCAACCAGTTTGTCGCTTCTGAAGAAGGACCTGGGGAGCCAAGAACCAGCAGAGGATTGGACTGGGCAGGGAAGGCAGGAATGTGCTGGCTGAGCTCATGCAGGGGCAGCAGTGACAAATGCTTTGCCCTCCTCCCAGCCCACGTGGCAGTGTGACCGATGGAGCCTCACCCTTTGTGGAAAATCTCAAACTTGATGCCTTTGCTCTGGATCACCCTCTTGAAGCCCCGGTGGTTTCGGTTGATGTTTAGTTTGAAAAGTTGATCAAATTCTGGCAAAGGGGGAGAAAGCAAGGAGGGGCTTGGCTCTCGGGATTTCCTGAGGAAGTGGAAATGGAGGCCCAGGGTTGGCTGCCTTCCCCCGATCTCTCCACCTGCATTTTGGGGTGACTGCCTCCAAAGCGTGGTAGAGCATCGAGGTCCTGGCCTTGGAAGTGAGTTTTTGTACTCTTTTTAGACATAGATTATAACAAAGTAGGAAAGACTTGGAATTGGGATACAGAATTCCCGGGTTCATATCCCATTTCTACCACTTCCTTGATGAGGCCGCAGGCAAGTCCCTGTACCTCTGTGCATTTCTCCAACTACAGAAGAGGCATGTTAACAGCACCTTTATCTCCCAAGTGGGGTGGATCGAGTAAGGGCATAGATGGGAACCCACTCTGGAAACACCAGTGCTGCCCACACTCTCTGAGAGAGAGGAGAAAGAGGCCCACATGTGGCCCTCACCTGGAGAATTTGTGTTCTTCACCACAGCTGTTTTGCTTTTTTGAGCTTGGTCCTAAGCAGTGAGGAGGGAGAAGTCAGGGCAGCGTATAAACACAGAGGCACACAGGGCAAGCACTGCAGCCAGGCCTCCCAGGGATGGGAAGAAAGTGAGCACAGGGTCCTGGAATGCAAGGTGGGTTTCAGAGGATCCTACTTCTACCTGAAGCTCACCGAGTTAGGATAGTGAAACTCAAACCGCACAAAAGCATCCAGGTCATCCGGAGTCACCCCTGGGAAGGAGAAAAGGGAGTCAAGTCAGAGGGAGTGGCCAGGAGCCTAGCACTTGGGGTGGAGTGTCCGGACAAGAGCCTCCTGGAGTAGGGGCGGCCCTAGGGTTACCTGGAGGGGCTGGGAGGTTCATTCCCCGGACAATGATCAGATGCATTTCTGTGCTGTTGAGTTCGGAGAAGATCCTAGAGCCAAGAGGGAAGGAGAAAATGCTCAAAGTGAAGGACAGTGGTGGAACAAGGTCCCTTCTTCCAGGGCCTGTATGCTCAGCTGGGTGGTGACAGGAGGGAGGGAAGGCAGAGCTGGTATGCAGACCTTGGTCACTGACTTCGGGTCCAGAGCTCTTTCCACAGCACCTAGACAGCTGTGCGTTCTTCACTGGCATGCACCCTGTCCTACTCCTCAGCAGCCCCAGTGCCCACAGTGGGGCTAGGCTTGGCAAGCCTCACTAAAGGGGTAGAAGTCTCTGGCCTGGGCTCCCAGCCTCCCGCCCCTCCCTGCCTGGAGCCCCTGTTTCCCTAGGCCTTGGTACCTCACAGTCTGGAATGTCTTCAACTCAAAGTGGTGGCTGGGAGGGTCGAGGCCCTGAGCCTGGGCCAGCTGCAGGATCTCCAGCTGTTTCCTGCGGTCCTGAGCAAGCTTCTCAAATCTGACAGGGATGGGTACGTCAGCATGACGATGGATTTTCTGCTCCCCACCCCAGGAGCCCAGCCCCAGCCCTTGCACTTACCGGGTGGTCTCAGCCACGTTGCCCTGGTGCATGAACTGCTTGGAGAACAGGAGGCACTTCTGAAAATGGAGGCCCAGAGTGACTCCCAAGCCCAGAGCAGGACCTGCCTCGGTTGGCATTCAAGGGTAGACTTCTTAAAGCTTCAACCTTCCTCTGTAGCCTAACCTCTCTCCTCCCATAACACAACCCCAAGGGCACTACTCCCAAGTCCCATCAGGTTTCTCTGCCTACACTTTTGCCATTTTCTCTTCTGAGGTCAGCCATTCCCCAAATTAGCAACTCCTTCCATCAAAACCTAATTCAAACATCCCCTCAGAAGGCAGCCTTTCCAGAACAGGTGGCAGTTCAGATAGATACACACATAAACATACACGCACATCAATGTTCTTTCCCTCTTCTCTATTGTTTGAACTCTGTACCATCCTGAAAGAGGGGTATTATCACCCCATCTCACAGATGAGGAAAATATAGTTCAGAGAGGGAAGTGCCTTGCCCAAGTCACACAGCAAGTAAGTGGAAGAGCTAAGAATTTGAGTCCAGGGCCGTGTGGTCTGAGCTCCAGGCCTTCTTCCATGGGGAGGCTGGGGGCACAGAGGGGAGGAACAGACGAGGGACAGAAGAGGAACAACTGACCTCTTGTTGCTCCAGAAGCATTTTTTGCAGCTGGGCATACACCTCCTCCACCTTCTGGGAGAGTCGCAGGTCCTCGTGGTGGATGAGGATGAAGTCACCCTCCTCATCCGTCAAGGGCGAAGGCACCTACCCAGGTCACAAGGCCCCTCGGGCCCCAAGAGTCAGATTACTCCTCTACCAAGTCCAACAAAGGCAGGAACCCAAACTAAACAATTCCTCAGCTTCTACTAAAGTCCACTGATGACAACTCATCGCCTCCCATTCTATCCCAAGATAACACTCTTGCCTCTCATGGCCTGGCCCAGCCTTGTCAGCTCTGACCACGGGCAGCCCACCTTCCCTTCTCCTGGTTTCCTTTGGGGCCGTGAGTTAGAGGAGTATAAGCAAAAGGCTCTTTCCCAGCTGTCATCATGTCCTGTCCAAACCCCACCTCATCCCAGAAGCTGCCCTCGTTCACAGCCTGTCAAGCCTGCCAGTCACCTTCTCCGACTGAGAAGTCCTGGTGGTTAACCAGGTGGGACTCACCTTGGACAGATCAACAGGTCTGCCAGCTCGGGCCTGGATGATCTGAGCCTCAAGACATTTGGCCACCCGCAGATGGGCTTTGGCCTGCTCCAGGTCCTGGCTTCGCTTGGCCTGCAGGGCTGCCCGCTGGTACTGCAGTTTCCGCGCCTCCAGCAGTGCCAGCTGCTCCCGCACTGAAGGGAGAAGGCCACTGGTTAGGGCCACACCTACCCTCCCTAGGCCCGCAGTTCTTTACCCTGCTTGTCCCCAACTCACCAGATGGACTATGTGACTCCTTAGAACTTGAGGCCTTGGGCTCAGGCAGGGGCTGAGATGAAGGGACCGCGGGCCGTGCAGGTTTCTTGGCCACTGGGGCCTGTGCTGGGGGCTCACCCTGCAGGTGCCCAGGAGGCTGTTAGGAGGGGATCTATTCCCCAGCATGGCCAAGGTGGCTCCCAGACTTGCTTGGGCTATCTTCCTAACGCTGTACTAAATCACTGTGTGACCTGAGATGGGTGGCTTCTCTTCCTGGGCCCTAAAAGATCTGAGAGCTAGAAGCAGCCTCAGAAGCTCTCACATCTAACCTCCCCAACAGGAGACAGACTGCAGGATAATGGGGACAGAGCCGGAGCTCTGGGTTCAGAAAGACCTTGGTTTGAATCCTAGCTCTGCTATTTCCTAGCTGGGTGTCCTTGGGTAAGTTTTTTCTCTGTACAGTGGAGAAAAGAATATGTACCTTATTGGGCTTGTTAGTATGGACAACAGGGTCTGGGTTTACCCCTCACCTGCTATTCTCCCCACCAGCCCTGAAGTCGATCCCTCAGCCAAACCTCGTCCTCCTCTTCATCAGCTGGGCCTGTATCCTCTGCGGAGGCCAGTTTCTCTGCAGCTGCCAATGTCGCTGCCACTGAGTCCTCTTCAACACCCATAGTGGGCTCCAGGCCAGGGATAGGGGGAAATCCTGTGGGAAAGAGACAGCATGGAAGGGGCAGGGAGCAGCCTCAGAGAAGCACAGAGCTACCCAGGGCTCTGTCTGGGGCATGGCTCTGCTGGGCATGGCTGGGATGGATGGCTCCACAGTGGGAAGGCAGACGCATGAGAAGTCATCCCCACTGGCTGTCCTCCATTCCCTTCTTGCCCAGGGACCACCTCCTCACAGCGCCCCTAGGCCATGCCCCACTCACCTGGAGGAACAGGCAACTCAGCAAAGTTGACTTTCCGTCCTGCTCGGTGTGCTCGAATAGCATCTTGATATTGCTGCAAGGGAAGGAAGGGAGGGGCCTGTGGTTGGCAGCAGCCCATAGGCCCCCTGCCCAACATGACACACAGTGGGGCAAGGAGAGGGAGACTGGTGGGAAGACAGCAGCCCTGGGAGAAAAAAAGATCCTTGAGGCAGCAAGAGCCCCAGAGAGACAAAGAGATGAAGGTTCAGAAAAGATGAGGACTAGCCGGAGGACCAGCCGGAGGACCAGGGAGACAGAGCACCCAGCCAGGGAAGAGGCCAGCACAGGCAGGGGCTACACAGCCGCGGGCTCACCTTGGCAATGCGCTCATGCATCCGAGCCTTGCGCTCATCCCCACCACTCCGGGCCTGGATGCCTGCCTCGCGGTACTTGTTCAGCCTTTGCTGCAGGGCATCCAGCACCGTCTGTGACTCTATAGGGGCCACGTGAAGGAAAGAAGGAAGAAGTGGGCATCAGCTCAGCCTGCCCCCCAATGCCTGCAGGTCCCCACACCACAGTCCCACCATCCTGCCCTACCTGGGGTTGCTGGGATGTCAGGGGCCATCACTGGCTGCACTCGCTCCACAGCTGGGGGAATGACTGAGGGTGCTGTGGGAGCCTGAGACGGCTGCCGGGGCTTCAGATCTGGGGGACCCAGAATAGAAGTGTAGGTGGGAGGGCCTGGTCAGCCCCAGGCCTGCTACTCCTCCCCAACCCCACCCCAGCCTGAGCAGATACATACTGACCCTCAGGTGCCGGAGGCATGGCACTCAGATCCACGGGCTGCCCCTTCTCCAGGGCCTCCAGGACAGCACCGAATCTCTGCAGAAGTTGGAAAAGCAGGTGTGGGCGAAAGCCGGGAGACCCCAAAAGCCCGGGCTGAAACAACCCCCACTCAGGCCAATCTCACTCAATCTCAGTCTAGCTCCCTTTCTGAGCCTCAGTTTCCCCCATCTATAAAATGAGGGTGGGTGGCCTGAGCCAGATGCCATACCTTCCCAATCCTCATGAGCTCTCGCGCACGGTCTAGCTCGCCAGTCCGCTTGGCACTGAGGGCAGCCACTTTGTACTCTCTCTGTCGGGATGACAGCAGGGCCCGTGGGTCTGGGTCTGAGTCTGAAATGGGCTGGGCAGAAACGCCAGGGAGGCTGGTCTCAGGTTGGGAGGGGTCGTCTATAAGGAAGCAAACAGTCCCCAGAGAGCACATGAGGGTCACAGAAGAAGGTGCCCATGGACCTCACTGGCCTGAGGATGTCCTGGGGAGGATGTGACCAATGGTAATGAACAGTGGTGGCAGGTTGGGGAGACAGGCTGTGGGCTATGACCCCAGGAACTAGACCAGGATTTGGGCATCTGCAGATACCTGACTCCAAGGCAGGGGGAGTTGGAGGGTCTGCCTCAGGGCTCCTGTTGGCTGGTTCCTGGGGGACCAGGGGCCGCTTTCCTAAGGCCACTGGAGGTGGGATCTCATCCTCATTGATCTTTCTGCCTCTCCTCACAGCGGCTAGCTGCGACTCCAAGGTCTGAGGGAGAGAACTGGTCCAGAAACCCAGCCAGCCATCTTAGCCCAGACCCTGCTCCAAGACAGGCCAGGGGTGGCTCCCCAACCCCCAAAGTCTGGTGGGGTGACCTCCCCTCCACTGGTGCAATCTCCACCAGCCGCCTTCCATGCAGTCCCCTCCCCTGCCCTGCTCCAAGCCTAGCCCGACTCACCTTCAGGCCGCGCTCGCAGCGCCTGGCTTTGGCTGCTTCGCCTGCCTCTTTGGCGCTGGCCGCAGCCTCTCGGTAGTTGCGAATTCGTTCCTCCAGCAAAGCGTGTAGCCCCTGAGATGCTCCGGCCTATGAACAATTCGGTTAAGGGCCTGGCCACTCCAGGGCCTGCTAGGCCTACCATTCTCCCTCTGCAGAAGCTGCCCCCAGAAGATGGAGCTCTGGGACTCCAGGAGAAAGAAGAGCCTAAAAGCCTCAAGGCAGGAAGCAAAGGCTCACTGGAGAGGCCAGAGGCCATGGCAGAGGCAAATACAGAGCCCCAGTTGGTGGAAGCCAGGAAATGGCTCCCGGGGGTGGTCTGGGAGAACAGAGAGGCCTTTGAGACTGGCAGCCACGGAGGAGTTTCTTGTGCTCAGTTTCTGCTTGGGGCGGCTGCCGGAGGAGGGTCCTGGAAAGGGTGACTGTGGCCTTGCCGTGCAGGCCAGGCCACACACGTGTTATGTCTGGGCACACAGGAGCATCAGAGGCACAGGGGCCCTCCTCTAGAACCCACCTGAGCTGCTGGGGCTGAAGCTGTCAGGATGGCTGTCTGCACTGGAGGTTCAGTGTCTTCTAGGCCCTTCTCCTCCTCAGAGCTGCCTGGGCCAGCTGCCTCATTACCATGCAGGGGCTCAGTCTCCTCGTCCACACCTAAGACCTCCTGCAGCTCCGTCTAGGGAGACAAAACACAGCCCAGGAGCTTGGGGGCCTCAAGACCATACCCACGACATGACCTGAGAGTAAAGGACCCTCTCTCCCAGCAATATTCCCTAACGTCAGTCACTGTGCCTCAGTCCCCTTCACCAAAACATTTCTTCAATCTGACCAAGGATAGCCTCGAAACAGTAATTACTCCAAATCTGAGAATTCCCAACCGCAGAGCTTAGACCAGAAGTTAGAGACACGCCACCCATTGTACGGCCAGGAGGGGCAAGCACTCAGAGTCAGAGAACAGAAGGGCACCCCCAGCCTCTCTCCACTGCCCTCTCCTCCACCAGGCCCAAGCTTGCCTCAGAGCCCTGGGATACCAGCCTGGCAGACACACCAGCAGCTCTGCATCTTCCTCCAGCCCTTCCTCCTCCTCCTCCTCCTCCACATCCCGCATACAGTCTGCTGCCAACTTCTCGATGTGGGCCATGGGCAGGGGGGCTGGGGGAAGAAGGTCACAGCAGGTCAGCACAGCACAGGTAAGGTCGGGGATGAGTAAAGGAGGGGCTTGGTAGATCCACCCAGACAGAAATCCCCCTTCCCTCCCAGGGCAGAGGCCCACCTGGAAAACTGCTCTTCCTCTAAGACCTAGTTCAAAAGACCCTCAACAGGGAACCCTTCCTCGGCCCCCCACCAAGCAACAAGCTGCTCCTTTCTCTGCACCTCCGCCTACAGTAGCCTGACATAGACATGACCATCCACTCTCTCCAACCTCCAACCACACCTTTCACATCTGAAAAGATTTTCAAAGTCCAATTGAGCTTCACAACAAATCTGCAAGATGGATAATATCCCCTTTTCATATACTGAATAAACTGAGAAACTTCCAACATTAGTTTTCCTATCACTGCAATCCTAGTAAGTGGCAGAGCTAGGATTCAAACCTAGGCCTGTGCCACCCCAAGGCAGGAGCAGCGAGCCCCTTCCTAGGTCCTCCCATTATCCTCAGCTCAGGGACATACAGAATGGTGGGGATGGGCGGGGGAATTCTCTGAGGGTTCCTGGTGAAAAGAGAGGAAGATTTAGACCTCCCGATCCTCCCAGGCCTAAAGTCTCTGTTCTCATCTGGGCTGTGGAGGGAGATTCCACTTAACTCACTGGACACAATTTCTATGTACTTCCTATGTACCCAGTTCAGTCTGTGCTAACTGGGCCCCTACCCTACACCAGTACCGTGGCTAGGGCTAAGGATGGGGACCTGAGTCAGTCTGAGAAACACATTTGTCCAGAATGGGGAGGGGCCAGCCCAGGCCATGACACAAGGTGGGGAAGCAGGGTGAGGCCGCCTCTTGGAGGGAGTGCTGCAGAAGGTACATGGGTATTGGAAGGACCAGGGGATCTGGCTGGCTCCCTCCAGCTGCAAGGGAACCCCTCTACCATCTTGTCCCAGCCTGTGCCCATCTTGTCCCAGCACCAAGCCCAGCCCTGTGTCCAAACTCACCCTGCCCCTTGGGTGCTGGCTTCTTGCCTGTAGTTTGTGCTTCCCCTGTGAGAGCCAGCAGCTCAGCCTCCAGGTCCTCATCATCTTCAGCCTCATCTATGCCCAGCAGCATGTCCTCAGGGCCAAACTCCATGAACAGCCCCATCTGAGAGCAGAGCAGGACTCTCAGGAGGGTAGACACAACAAGGAGGGTAGAGCCCAGCTCCAGAGCCAGACTTGGGCTCTCCATGTCCCCATCAGTGGCTCCTTCAGCCTGTGAGGCCCAATGTGCAGAAAGAAACTGAGGCCTGCAACATTACTCCTTGAGACACCTTCCTAGGGACTCAACAAAAAACCCAGCAAGACCACACTGAAACTGAGATAGTCTTGTGAGAGAGTCAGAATTTAAAACACACTACCATTATTACGACTAACAGCAATAGCTGCCATGCACCGTTCTTAGTGTTCTATGTGATTATCTTAACTATCTCAGGTAATTCTCACAATTCTGAGAAGGTCCTATTTTTTAAAACTCTGGTAAAACATATACAATATGAAATTTATCATCTTAACCACTGTTAAGGGTGAGTTCAATGGCATAAGGACATTCACACTATCCTGCTACCATCGCCATCACCCACCCACAGAACTCTTTTCATGTTTTGTAAAACAAACTTTCTACCCATTAAACATTAACCCCCCTTCCTCCCCTCCTTCCAGCCTCTGGTAAGCACCATTCTTCTGTTTCCATGAATCTGACTAGGTAGAGGTACATCCCTTTTTTTTTTCCTGAGACAGAGTCTGGCTCTGTTGCCCAGGCTAGAGTGCAGCGGTGCTATCTTGGCTCACTGCAACCTCTGCCTCCCGGGTTTAAGCGATTCTCCTGCCTCAGCCTCCCAAGTAGCTGGGACTACAGGCACATGCCACCACACTCAGCTAATTTTTGTATTTTTAGTAGAGATGGGGTTTCACTATGTTGGCCAGGCTGGTCTCAAACTCCTGACCTCAGGTGATTCACCCGCCTCAGCCTCCCGAAGTGCTGGGATTACAAGCGTGAGCCACAGTGCCCAGCTCACATTCTGTTTTTATCCCAATGTTCAGATGAAACTGAGAGTCTTGTGAGACAGTCAGAATTTAAAACAAGCTCTTTGCGAGTTGAGTCTATGCCCTTTACCCCACCTCCTTTCTTACCTTTTTAAAGACAGTAAAAATGGACTAAGAAATCTCAAGACATAGGCCCAGAAGAAATAAAGGAAGAAAATTGGTGAGGAAACCCCCGTGTTCTTCCACTTGGGGCACAGCCATCTGTTCCTAGGCAGTGAAATCCTCCCACTGACTACCGCCCTCACACCCTGGTATCCCTCACTAACAAGCAAAGTTGTGACCCTATCTGAGGAACCCATGAGAGCACTGAGGTCCCATCAGAACATCCTAAACTTTGGTGATTCCTGAACCCTCTCCCCACTTGTGTGTGGCAGGGACTAGCAGGAGGGTGCCTAAGGGCTCTGCCACCTCCAGGAGACACTGCTCCAAGTCTCTGAACTAATGGGGGAACTACATGTGATCCAGTTTGCCTAAGCTGTCTAGGGACTCCCATCCCCAAACCGACCCAGTAGCCTAGAAGGCTAAGTTCCATACCTGCTTGGCAGCGGCCACCCCTTGGCCTCTGGCCTGAGGGCCCTTCCGAGGTCTTGGCCCTGGCATCGTGGCAGCCTAGATACCTATGGAAGAGTTACAGAGATTCAGGCTGGAGTAGCCCATAAGCCCCGCCCCCAACAGTGCTACCTGTGGTAAGGTGTGGATAGTAAACTCCCAAAGAAGGCAATGCTGAACACCAAAGGATGGATTACCTTTAATTAAAGCACTGAAGCAGCACAGGCCATGGGAGGGATGGGGATCACCCATCAATGGGTTTACTGGGGAGTGTTCTGAACGGACTCAAATTTAAAAAGCACATTCAGGGAAGTACTCTAGGTTCAGGGTGGGTGGAAGGCTGGGTAGAATTCAGAAAGGCTCTAAAGCTGTGCTTATGGAAGCTACAGCTGGCTATTTAATTTTAAATTGCAATGAATTAAAATGAAATAAAGCTAAAAATCCAGTCCATCAGCCACAACAGACACATTCCAAGTGCTTAACAGCCACATGTAGCAAGGGGCTATGACCAGACAGCACACACAGAGAACATTTTCATCACCCAAGGACACTTCATCAAAGTTCCACCTCACAGCTGTGCTCTGGAGAAAGCTGTCCCAGCATTCTGATTCCCATAAAGATCTCACAGTCATTCACAGGACCTCCTGCGTCAGACTTTGTGATGGGCACTGGGAGCGCAGAAACGAATCTAAGACGGTCTCAGCCCTCAAGGACCATGTATATGGTGGAGGTGGACTACACGGGGTTGCCCCAGGGGCTATGGGTACCCTGAGGTAACCCCTTCTTCAGCACTGGGAGAAAAGCCGCCTCCTTCGAGGCGGTGATGCCTGGGCTGAGTCACGCAAATAAGTAGGAGGAAAGAGGGGAATAGGATTCCTAGCCGAGGGAACACCTGATGGCTCTGAAGTGGGGAGCAGCTTGGCTCGTACAAGAGAACCTGAGGCCTGGTATGACTGGGGCATAAGCGGTGAGGCCTGAATGCACAAGCCGAGATGGAAGCGGCACAACATGAAAACCTCTAAGCCGAAAAGTGTTTGGGCATTATTCTGAGGGCGCGGCGAAAGAAGTGGCAGGATCGGATCGGTGTTTATAAACCCAACTCTGGCGGCAAAGGGTAAGGTGCACAGGAGGTAGGGGTAGAAGGCAGGAAGCCGGCGCATCTCGCCACAGCCCAGGCGGGGAGACCAGCTGACGGGCGTGGGGGCGGCGGGGAGCGGGCAGAGGAGCTGGCTGGCGCTCCGGGAGACTCTCAGTGTCAGATTTCGGGACTTAGGTGAGCGGCAGGGCCCCGGGAGTGACCCCGGCTCAGGTGAAAGCGAGGCCAGTCAGGCACTCCAAGGCTGCGGCCCCGAAGACAGAGCCAGGCCTCAGGAGAGATGGGCAACGGACTCCGTAGGGGGAGGCGACACGAGACCCCCACTCCCGCGCTGCGGGACGCGCCGCCCTGCCCCGCCCGCGCCGCCTCCATCTCCCCCGCGGTCCCCCAGAGTTCCCCACGCCGAGGGGCGGGGACGCGGCATACCTCGCGGTGAATCCCAGCCAAACCCTGGCCTTCTCCCACCCGGCACCGCCCTGGGCTCCCGCGGGCCCTGGGCCGCAGCGGTAGCGACAGGAAGCGCCCGCCGGGGAGGCGGCTCGCGCGCAACACGTGACCCCACTAGCCGACGGCCGGCAGTGCGCATGTGCACGGCCCCCGCAGGCTCCGACAGGTGACACCAAGGCGGGGTTCGCAGTGCGCAGGCGCGTTCGGGCAGGTAGCGCGGGACAAGAGCGCTGGGCGGTTCCGCCCGGGCGTCCACTGGCAGGCTCAAATGAGGTCGCGGGGCCCAGCCCTCGCCCACTTGCAGCCTCTCCGCCGAGCCTCCTCCCTCACGCAGCCCGAGGCGCTGGGCGCTTGCTCGCTGGACCTACCCCGCCTCGAGCCCTGGCCCCGCCCCACCGAGCAAGGGGGCGGGGCCTACCCAAGCTCCGCCCTGGAAGCGAGACAGGGGCGGGGCTCGCCTGTTTGTCCATGTCCTTTAAGTCTGGGGAAATGGAAATGGGGCCCACCATATTTTTCTTAATAATTCAGCACCTGAAAGTATCATTTTCCGGTCCGTTGAAAACTTCAGACAGGCAGAGCTCGCTGCACATCTTAAATAATTCAGAGAGTCTAACACTAAGTTCTCACTCACATGCCCTGCTGTGCAATCAAATGGCATAAGGAGAGAAATGGAGTGTGCCCCTTTTCTGCCAAGCTTGTGTCAGTCACTTATCATAATGGAGCTTATACCAGTTCTCTATCCTGCAAGATGGACATCATCTCTAGAAGAAACGGAGGCTCAGAATTATTTGCCCAGGGAAATACAAAACCAACCTCTTTAACATCGGTAAATATGCTCTAGTCTAGTTTTCTAAGGAATGCAGGTTTCTCCCTGTGGCTTGCAGAGTCCAGTTAACAAGAGATTGAGCTCAGGAGTCCGAGACCAGCCTGGGCAACATGGTGAAACCCTGTCTCTACAAAAAATTACAAATATTAGCCGGGTGTGGTGGTGCGTGCCTGCAGTCCTACCTACTGGAGAGGCTGAGGCAGAAGAATCGCTTTAGCCCCGGAGGTCCAAGCTGCAATGAGCTGTCAAATGCACTCCAATCCGGGTGACAGAGTGAGACCCTGTCTCAAACTAAAACAAAAAAACCGAGAGAGGAGTAATGGGGAAGTGGCCAGATTCCCATCTAAAGTAACCACTTCGATTTTTGGGGGAAAGAGAAGGGCTTAAAAGGAAAATGTGATATGGGAAGCATGCAAGAATTGTACAGAGTACAACGTCTGTGTGTCTTGTTCTGGTGGCTATCTTGGGTCCCAGCCTACCTGGAGTGTGGGCTGGTCTCATCTCCACAATGGCCCCGCTGTTGACTAGCCACCTTGAAGTAATCTTTGGAATTTTGCAGCTGTGTCTCCAGGCTTGGTCTGTCTGTCTCAAGATTAGCCCTTGGAACTTCTAAGAAGGCAGATAATGAAATACTAGCATACAGTAAGATAAATGTGAAGGGAGTATATACAGTGAGAAAGGGAGGGATGTGGGATCTATTTTAAGGCTAAGGAAAAAGGCTTTTGCAGTTTGCTTCAAGGTTATATCTTGAAACCCAAGAGAAAGGAAAAAAAGTTTTAAAATGTATTTTAAACTGCTGGATTAGTTTCTTCTGTCTAAAACATTGCCATCTCCCCTCCTGCCTATGCCTTGAACTTTTAAATTATGCTTCGTAGTTAGCGGTTTCAAAGATCTCCCAGTTTCCTTGGACAAAGGGCTTTTCCATCTCCTGATTGCTTACCCTTTTTTTTTTTTTTAAGACAAAGTCTCACTCTGTCGCCCAGGCTGGAGTGCAATGGCGTGACCTCGGCTCACTGCAAGCTCCGCCTCCCGAGTTCACGCCATTCTCCTGCCTCAGCCTCCCGAGTAGCTGAGACTACAGGCGCCCGCTACCGTGCCCGGCTAATTTTTTTTTTTTTTTTTTTTTTTTTTTTTGTATTTTTAGTAGAGACAGGGTTTCATCGTGTTAGCCAGGTTGGTCTCGATCTCCTGACCTCGTGATCCGCCCGCCTCGGCCTCCCAAAGTGCTGGGATTACAGGCATGAGCCACCGCGCCCAGCTTTTTTTTTTTTTTTTTTTTTTTTTTTTGAGTCAGGATCTCACTCTGCCTCCCAGGCTAGAGTGCAGTGGTGCGATCTCCGCTCACTTCAACCTGCACCTCCCAGGCTCAAGCAATCCTCTCACCTCAGCCTCTTGAGTATCTGGGACCACAGGCACATGCCACCATGCCCAGCATTTTTTTTTTTTTTTTTTTTTTTTTTGTAGAGACATGGTTTTGGTATGTGCCCAGCCTGATCTCAAACTCCTGAGCTCAGGGGATCCACCCACATCAGCCTCCCAAAGTGCTGGGATTACAGGCATGAGCCACCATGCCCTGCCCATTACCATTTTTAAATCGAGGTTTCACATCCATATTTCTCATTCCTTTTAAAAGTATTTAAAGATTTTTATAATGAAACATTTAAGATATACACAAAGATATACAATATTTAACATTTACTAGAATGCAAGCTCCAGAGGCAGAAATTTTTTTGTTTCTTCTCCAAGTGTCTCGTGTCTACAGCAGTGCATGGTACATAGTAGGCACTCAATAGTTCCTTGTTGTGTGTGTGAATTAACTACATGGGCATCAATTACCAGTTTAAGAAAAAAAACAACATAGTTGAAGCTACCTGTACATCTCCCATATTGCAACACCTCCCTTTCTTGAAGATGTACCCATTATCCTAAATTTAGTGTTTATTATTCCCGAGCATTTCTATTTCTGTGTAGGTATCCTTAAGCAATACATAGTATTTTTTTGCAAGCTTTTAAAAATTATATCATTGGTTACATACAGTGTAATTCTTCAGTCTTTTTCTACTCAACCCTGTTTGTAAGCTTTGCTCAAATTGACATGTATACTGTAACTAGTTAGCTGATTTTCATTTCTGTATATGATTCCATAGCATGGAAATAAGTCACTTTCCCAATGGCTTACCATTATAAAGAGAGCTATGAACTTTTTGTATATGAGTCTTGGTGTACGTATGTGAATTTCTCTAGGGCATATACTTTGGAATGGAATTGCTGGCTGCATTAGAGTTCTCCAGAGGAACAGAACTAATACGAGAGATAGATATATATATATAGTCCCACAATAGGCTGTCTGCATGCTCTATTAACCATCACACTGGCTGATATGGCTTGGATCTGTGTCTCCACCCAAATCTCATCTTGCATAGTAATCCCATAATCCCCATGTGTCTTAGGAGGGAACTTGTGGGAGGTAATTGAATCAATGGTTTCCTCCATGCTGTTCTTGTGATAGGAGTGAGTTCTCACAAGATCTGATGATTTTATAAGCGTCTGGCATTTCCCCTGCTGGCACTCATTCTCTTTCCTGCTGCCCTGTGAAGAGGTGCCTTTCACCATGATTGTAAGTTTCCTGAGGGCTCCCCAGCCATGTGGAACTGTGAGTCAAACCTCTTTTCTTTATAAATTACTCAGTCTCAGGTATTTCTTCATAGCGTGAGGACAGACTAATACACTGGCTCATACAATTTCTTGCATTTCCTAGGCTAAGATTCACCAAATAATCTTCAAAAGTCATTCCACCTCCATCAGCAGGGTATTGGAGTTCCAGCTGTTCTGTATAACCATAGAAAGGTTTTCAAATAAATGTGAAATGGTTTTGGTTTGCATGCCTCTTTTGCTGTTTCCATTTTCTTGGTCATTCGTGTTTCTTCTTCTTTGGATGAGTTATTTCTTATTCACCCGTTTTTTTTTTTCCTTTTTTTTTTTTTTTAGACAGTCTTGCTCTTTTGCCCAGGCTAGAGTGCAGTGGCATGATCTTGGCTCATTGCAACCTCTGCCTCCTGGGTTCAAGCAATTCTCCTGCCTCAGCACCCCCTAGCAGCTGAGATTACAGGTGCACGCCACAACTTGTGGCTAATTTTTGCATTTTTAGTAGAGATGGGGTTTTGCCATGTTGGCCAGGCTGGTCTCGAATTCCTGACCTCAGGTGATCCACCCACCTTGGCCTCCCAAAGTGCTGGGGTTACAGATATGAACCACTGCACCCGGCCCATTTTTTCTTTTTCATTGCAGAAGTTTACAAAATATTGATATTGATCCTCAATCCATTATATGTAATTATAAATGTATATGTGAATATAGAAATACATATTTTTGCTAAATGATTTGAGAATGAGTTGCAGATATAACACATCACTTATAAATATTTCATTATGAATCTCCTAAGAACAGCATTCTCCGACATAATCACAAATTTATCATGCTCAGGGAATTTAACACTTACAAAATACTGTTGTCTAATACATAGTTAATAATAATGTTTATAATTGTTTATATTTTGTAAATCCAGGACCCAGTCAAGGTTTATATAGTGCATTTAGCTTTCATGTCTCTATTCTCCTTTGGTGTAGAATAGTTCCTCCATGTTTTATGTTTTTTTTCTTGTGATATTAGTATTTTCAATGAGTTGAACAGCTGCTTTGCAGAGTATTTCTCCCTCAATTTAAATTTGTCTGATAATTTTCTCATCAATAAATTTAGGACAGGCATTTCTGACAGGACTAGCACATGGGTGAGGCTGTTTTTTTTCAGTACCTCATATTAGGTTTTATTTATTTTTTTCAGACGGAGTCTTGCTCTGTCGCCCAGGCTGGAATGCAATGGTGTGATCTCAGCTCACTGCAACCTCTGCCTCCTGGGTGGGTTCAAGCAATTCTCCTGACTCCCAAGTAGCTGGGACTACAGGTGACACCACCATACCCAGCTAATTTTTGCATTTAGTAGAAACAAGATTTCACCATATTGATCAGGCTGGTCTCGAACTCCTGACCTCAGGTGATCCACCCACCTTGGCCTCCCAAAGTGTTGGGATTACCAGCATGAGCCACCCACGCCCAGCCTCAGTACTTCATGAGGTTTTAGATGTCCATTGTCCTGTTGTTGGTTTCCATATAAATATTAGAATTAACTGCAAAGTCATACAAGAAACCTTGCCAAGATTTTGATTGGAATTGATTTCTATCTAGAAATTACTTGCATCTCTTTTTTAGATTAATTCCTAGGAGACGGACATGGTGGTACACACCTGGAATCCCAGCTACTTAGGAGGAGGAGGCAGGAAGATTACTTGAACCCAGGAGGTTAGGGCTGGAGTGAGCTATGATCCATTACTGCATTCCAGCCTTGGTGACAGAGGGAAAACAAACAAAATAAATATTTAAATCAATTTATTTCTAAGTACCTTATATTTTCTGTGACATATAAATCTTTTGTATTTAAAGATTTGTTTTGTTTTTATG